TTCTTTCTCAGAAAGTTTGTCAGTTTGTTCTTTAGCTGTGTGTATCGGATTATTGGTAAATTCTATTGTGAGCCCATCCTTTGTGGGACTTTCCTTGTAGAAATCCTGTTAGGCTTGGGCTATGAGAGTTTGCAACTTGTTTCTGCCATAGATCCCTCATATATAATTGGTCCGGAACCCCCACTGCTTAACAGCTGTTTGATTTTGCTTTTATTTTCTTATCAATAAAGTACAGGTAATAAAAATGTCTACCTCATTAGGTTGTTGTGAGGATTTAAAAAGTTATTTCTATGTAAGTGAATAGAACAGTGGTCTAAGAGGGGAGGGGTTCCCCTCAAGAACTGATATATTTGGGAATTATTTTCTTATTGTATTATTTTAGAATAGCTTTTAAATTCAGCTTCAGTGAAAAAAAGTATGTCTTACTTAAACCAAATCAGATAGTGCACATACAAATGTTTAAATCAGATAAGATAGGAATTGATCATTTACTTGATGTAAGATTCACTAAGGAATGTTCTTGGCAAGATTGAGAAACTGATTTCAGTTACCCATATCTACTTTTCCCCTTTCAGAACCATACTTTCCTCTGGCCATCCTGCAAGTTGTTCCTGCACTGTACTTCTGTCCTATGGTTCTTATTCTCAACTACTTCTCAGCTAATTCCATTTGAATTATTTGTATTTATTTCTGAACTCTTCTGCCCTATGACAGAAGAGAAACTTTAGAGAATAGTGTGTGATATAGGCACTATGTAGGCTTACAACAAATATTTGTTGAGTAACTGTATTTTCTAGTTCCCATTATTTGTAGTAGTAAATTCTCACCCACACTCATTTGACCTTGAGGTTTTTGTAAATATAACATTTTTATGACCATTAATATGATTTGTCAACTTACTGTGTAAGCAACTTTTCAGGAATCTTATTTCATAAGTGTGGTATAAAAACACTACATATCATAGATTTGAAGAGCATGTCATTAAAATCACAAGGATTTAGTGTATGAAATTTCCTTTTTTACCTGTACCAGTTTCAGATTAGTTTAAAAATATTAGTTATTTTTCCATCTTGATACATTTTAGCATTTGCCATATTGAAACTGTTGCATTTGTGGGTTCATAGAAAGTCATTTAAAAAACTCTTTTCATAAATGTTAAAAAAAGGCCTTTTTTATGCTAAAGTGTAAATGCCATACACACACACACAAAATTATCTTTCATGAGCGAAGCTCTCCACTAGTGTTTTCACTTTTCTTTCATTTAATTTTTGTGTCCAATCTGTAAGATTCTGTCTTCAGTTTATAGGTAAGGAAACTAAACCCTCAATAGGGTAAATGACTTGCTCAGGATCTCATAAACAGCAGGGATTTGAACACAAGTTTTTGGATTCTAAGCCAGTATTATTGAAGATACACTCAAGAAATATAACCCTTCTGTGATGAACTAAAGAGATGATATTCCATTTAACTTTTGAAAGGAAATAATTTAAGGGAAACTCACAAGAGCTATGGAAACATTTTTTAAGCTAAGGCTGAAGGCTTTAAGTTTGAAGTGGATTCTTATTAAAGAGACCTGCCCTTTCGTTATACCTCCTAACCCCTTGTTTAGATATAAGACTTTCCAAAACACGCTCTAATTCCATGGAAGGAATACATTCAAGCTGTGTTCACATTGCACAATTACTTCATGTCTATTTAGCTCTAATTTTCCTTCTCATTACTTGTCCTTGATGTCTTATATTCTGTATTGTAACTTTTTTTGAGTTCTCCTGTTATATTTATTAAACACCCGTGATTGTTGTTCCCTGCTTTGTTTGGTACTTTACATGCAGAAGATGCTTAATAAGTGTTGAACACTATTGAGTTACAACATTTAAGATTCTTGTACAATGTGTCCCCACCTCTATAATATTCTTTATTACATTCATATAGATTTTTCATCTTTGCTTATCTTTTCTTGTGCCTTTTTCTTTTTCTGAATGGCTTTTCTCCTCCTTTCCTTTACTTATGGCTTTGATTTCAATTCTGCCTCCTCAATGAGACCTCCACCATTAAGACCATTAGAAGTCTTTCATTCCTTTGAATTTCTTTTTGCAGTTATTGTCATTGGAATGTGTTTGACACTTCAGCATATCTTATTGTCATTTATCCTTCTGTATATGCAATGTCTTATCTGGATTGTGAGTTTAAATTTTTATATTTCTTTAGGTTTGAGTATTAGCTAACATGTTCAAGAGATTCTCAGTGAATATTCCGATAGAAATTCAGTGGTAATTACCTATAAAAGGCTTTATATAAAGCATTGCTGACTAGTGTGGGGAGAAAATTTAGCAGATAAAAATGAAGTGGTCTGCCATCTAACATGTCTCAGTTGACAATGAAATTGATAAAAAGAAAATAATCCAGGCCAAGTGGCTCATATTTGGATATATTCTAGAAACAACAATGTGATACCTTCTCCCACTTTCTTTTTCTTTCTTGTCTTGTCTTGTCTTTTTTTTTTTTCTTTTTCTTTGAGACAGAGTCTTGCTATGTCACCCAGGCTGGAGTGCAGTGGTGCAATCATAGCTCACTGCAACGTAGAACTCCCGAGCTCAAGTGTTCCTCCTGCCTTCGCCTCCTGAATAGTTGAGACTACAGGTGTGAGCTACCTATTCTGTGTCTCTTAACATGTGCACTTACATTGTTGACCATGAACCTCCTTGATCTTGTTTTTAACATTTACTGTGTTTTTGTTTTGTCTCTGAATAGCTAAAAATGGAGCAATTTTATTTTTTTCTTCAATCTCGATCACATATTTCTTGTTGGTCAGTTATTGGGGACTGTAACTGAGTCATTTGCACTATGTTCTATTAGGTTGTGGAATGAAAGCATGATTCTCTCAGCTGACCACTGACTTATTATTTGTTGTAATTTTGGAAAATAGTGAAAAGTATGGTAGTGTTGAAGCAAAACCTATGCTGGACTTAGGTTTTAATAACAAATGACATACATTTATTGGGCAACTAATTTATACATCTAGACATTCTGCAATATAGTTTAAGTAAATAATGGAAGATCTATAAGCTAGCTGTTATTAACTTTATTTTTCATGTGAAGAAATGAGTCTGAGAAGAATTAGATAGCTGTCTAAAAGGTCAAATATTTAACAACTAGCACTGCTGTAACATAAACTCTTAAAAGCAGGGACTTTGTTTTGTTCACTGTTGTAGTCCCAAAACTTAAGACATGACTGGGACTCAGATATTTGTTAAATGAATCCAGTTCCTCTCCTCTTATTCTCCCTTGAACTCAACTTCAGATTTTCACTCCTGTCACTCCATTAAAGCTATTTTTGTTGATGTTATCGATGACCTCACTGTTACTAACATCCAAAGATCTTGTCTTTTCTAACTTGACCTCTCAAGTTATATTTACCCATTAGTTACTCCCCTTTCCTTGAAATTCATTGTTTACTGACTTCCAAAACAACACATTCTCTTGTTTCTTTCCTTTCTTCCCTGGCTACTCTTCAGTCATGTTTTCTTTTCATCTTTCATGCCTCTAAATATTGGAGTATTCTCAGGGCTAATTCTTCAGATGTTTTCTACTTTTGATTTACTTTTACTTCCTTGGCAATATCACGCAGTGCAATACCTTTAAATACCACTTAGATGCTAGTAATTACCAATTTATATTTTTATCCTGGACTTTTCCCCAAACTCTGCTCTAATACATTGAATTATTAATAGATTAATAGATGTGAAGCTTAATATGTCCAAAACTAGACTCCTAATATCTTAATTTTCTATGCTTACAGTTAGAAGAGTATATCTAATTCATACAAACCCAACCCTTCTAGTTGATTAGGACAGAAAACCTTCGTGTCATCTTTGACATCGAGACCAGTTTCGACCTGTTGGCTGTGTCTTCTAAATATATTCTGAATCTGATCACTTCTCACCTCCATTGCAATCTTTCTGGCCCAAGGCAGCATCCTTTTCCAGATTTTATTATAATAGGTTCCTAGCTGATTTCCTGCCAGGACCCTTGGCCCCTCTGCAGACTATTCTCAATATAATAGCCTGGGGTGTCCTATTTACAGAAGGAAAAAGTCAGGACATGTTTTTCTCTCAGAATAAAAGACTAAATTCTTAAAACCTACCTTTTTGACCTCATTTCTTACTAGTCAGTCCAGCTCCACTGGCTCCCTTGCTAGTATCAAGCACGTCCTCCTACTACTCCCAAGATCTTTGCATTTATTTTTCTCTCTTCTGGCATAGTCTTTCCACAGATAATCTTCGTGACAGGTCTTACGGTCTTTACTGAGGTCTTCAGGTCTGCGTGAGGTTCCTGCTGACTATCCCATTTAAAATTACAGTTCCTTTCCTGCATACCCTTTTCCATCCCACCCAGCAGCACTTAACCCCCCTTCTTCTCATGTTACTTAATATCCTTTAACACACTTTATTCTACTTCTTTATAATGGTGTGTTTTTGTGTTTTCCATTTATCTCTTCTTATTAGAATATATATTTTACCAGAATGTAAGTTCCATAGGAGCAGGATTATATTCATTTGTCTTTCCTTAATTTGTTCATGTGTCCATTCCCAGAACAAATGAAGTAGTGAATGAGTATTAGACCTGAATTTGAATCTAGTTCTGTTTGACCTGATAGCTAAACTAGGCTACCATTTGGTTTATGTGTATATATTCTTTGTTTTAGATACACACACCCCTATGCAAACCCCACCACTACTCAAAAGCCTTTTGAAGTAATGTCTTATAAATTTTATATATAATGAACAATCTTGATATATTTAATATTTAATCTTACACTGACTAATTACTATATTCCGAATTTTATCTTTAAATATAGCTGTGGCATGCATTTGTTTTATTACTTTTATAAAATCAGTGTGTGTGCACACATATTACTACTGTGCATACTGTATTACTATATTTTATTATATATGTGTGTATCTGTATATGTAGATCTATATATATAATTTTTAAAACAGGTTATCAGGACACCCCATGGGAGAGACTTCGATGACTCTTTAGAAAAGTGTGAAGAGTATTTGAGCCCAAGGTCGTGTAGTAAGCCCCAGCATTCAGCGAGGACCTTACTAGTCCATTCAGCACCCTCAACAATGCCAAAGCATTCTCCAAGCCCTGTGTTAAATAGAGCTTCTCTCAGGGAAAGGTAATTATGTGCGGTCTTCATTTCTGTACTCATCTTTGAATAATAAGTATTAGAAGGGAAAGCAGCAATTATGCATGTGAAATGAATATAAAAGTGTAATTTGATTTTCAGAGGCTTAAATTGTTTTTGTTTAAAATATATTACATATTAGATAATGTTAGATATTTCTTCCTAGCACAGTTCTCTAGATATGGGTTTATTCACCAGGTATGGGTCACATTAACCCCAATTACAGATTATAGTTCTTAAAAGTGAAAAGTAACATATATGATTGTTTTTAGTAGATTCAGAGGAATTTAATATTACAGGCTTGCCTTAAGTGTAAACACAACACAGATTATATTTCTTACTTAGTCATAATGGCTATCTATATATTGTTGGTAGATGGTGTCTAGTTTTCTCAAACAGCCTTCTTCCAACTCCCTAAGAGCATCTTAATCATGTAAAGATTCCAACTCTCTGTTTAAAAATGCTATGGCAGCCAGAGTCTGATCGTGTTATAATTCGAATGTGAAATAAATAGTTCCTTTTCATATATTTTAAAATTGAAATTGGAAATTCCTTGCCTCTGTCACAAATAGTAATATAGAAAACCATGTTTCTGTAATAAGTTGAAAAGAAGTCAATCCTGGTGAAAAAAATTATGTAAGTTTTTTTCTATATGTAAGAGAAACACTGTCAACAACGTGGAAATCGATGTATCTTTACAACTGGTGTCAGAAAGCGAAAGTAAGCACACCAAATTTCTGTAGTGTATTGGGGTCATCAGGCATAATTAACAAAGATTTAATTAGCTGTAGAGAATATATTGAAAGTTTAACTCAAAACTGATGATTTGAACAACAGTGTGTTAGCTTGGATGCTGTATTAAAACAAATCTATTTTAAACATACAGGTTTGTCTGTTTACTTACTAGCTTTGCAAGCATTCATAATGGATATACGGAGGCATATTGTAGACCCCAATCCTGAGATACGTAATTTTGATTAAGGTTGCTTCTAGTGCATTAGAGTCAGGCCTGTGGCGGGGTTGGGAGGATCATGGAATCGTTAACATAGGTGCACACACAAACAACATCATCATCAAAAATTCAGGAGAAAACTGGAAGAGAAGTTTTTCTGCTGAAGTTGATAACTTGCATCTCAGTATCAGGGGACTTTCCTTGATTTCCTCATCTGCCCAGCTGTTTAGACATACAGTTGGTGCTCCTTTCTTTTTATCAACTTTTAGAAATCATCTCTAGTGATTTTTTTGATTAGGTCCTTTATCATCTCTGTAAATTTTCCAGAATTTCTTAAATCTGTATTTCCTTGGATATGTTTTTATTTACTTTTGTAATAAACTTTTATAAATAAATACTTTTACAAATGAGTATTATTTACTTTTATAAATAAATTTATGTTTTAATTTACTTTTATAAATACTTTTATTTTTCTACCTTTTCACATATTTTATAGAACTCTCCAATTGTAAACCTACCACTCTAGTACAGTATTAATTTTAGTTCTGTGTTACTTTATCTTTGTATACAATTTTGTTCCGGCTTTTGACCTCAGTCTTTTCTGGATTGATAAATTTGTCATTGAGGCTATATTCAAAAATTCTTCATTGATGACAGTTAAAGTTAGCTGCCCCTTTATTCATATTTCAGTATGGCAAAGGGCTTGGAGTAGATAGCGGTGGCATTTGCACATTATTTTCACTCAGGATGATAGATGTAGTAAGTTCTTGCTAGAAGAAAATGAGTGATTCTAATGTTAAACATTACCTATTTTAACTATAACTTGAGGAAGGTTAGGTAATTTTAAAATAATACAATGGCAATTTAGTTTTGAATTTCCCTATACAAATTATCGTTTTATTGGTATACTCTCTGGGGCAGGCATGACAGATAAGGTTTTTTAACTTTCACTAAAGCAGAACACCTTTGATTTGAGTGTATTTTCTAAATATCTAGATTAGTCTCTAAAGGAAAATAAAATGTCTAAGGCATACTACTAGGAACAAAAACATTTTATTCTTTTCAACACTCAGTACCGCATCTTTAAATATAAGACATTCTCTGAAATGGCTTTTTCTAGGTCACTAAGCAGTATACTTGTAGGGTGTTTATACAATCTATTGAAATCAATAAACAATTTAAACCAATATAAATGTAGATTGTATGTTCCAGGCAAAATTGGAAGTTTTGCGTGGGCGCTGTATGACAGAACATACAGTTATAGGAGTTTATCTGTGTAAATATTTATTGAAATTAAATAAGTTTTCTCTAAGATTGTAGTAAAATGCTGACTCCTTAATCGTGTATATAAACAGATTTTTAGAAACTTTCCCAATGGCTTTATCAAATGAATTTCTTTATGTATAGTGAAGGTGGGTTTTGCTTTGTGCCCATTTAAGAAATTCCTCCAGTGAAGTTAGCACAACATAAAATGGTTTCAATTTTGGTTATAAGTGTTATATTTCAGAAGTTGTTTCCTTCTCAATGTGTAAATATTAATATTATAATTTAAAATTTGTGTGAAGTTTTGAGTTATTACTAAAATTAGACCAAGAAATACTAGCAAATCTACTGAAAAAGGAGCTGATACTCTTTTGAATCATGCTTAAAGTTTTGACTTTTATAAATGAAATTAGATTGGCAAGCAGGCATTCCTTATCCCACAGCACAGACTAGTGGATCCTCTAATAGTATCATTGAAGAGATCCAGTGGATCCTCACAGCTGAATAGTTGGATCTCAGATTTCCAAGATGTGCTATATATATTGCAAATAACAAAGTCTGCTAATTTATTTTTCATAGGTGCAATAGAACTTGCTTTTGCATATACAGGAGATTAAAATTTAGATAATTGATTATTCATTATTTATTGCATTTTTAAGTAGATTATATAAAACATTTATCCTGTTTAGTGGTTTATACTTTGTATAAACATATGATATTTTAGCTTTTAAGAACAAACTGGACTCATGCCTATAATCCCAGCACTTTGGGAGGCCAAAGCGGGCGGATCACGAGATCAGGAGTTTGAAACCAGCCTGACCAACGTGGTGAAACCTGTCTCTACTAAAAATACAAAAATTAGTCAGATGTAGTGGCGGGCAATCCCAGATACTCAGGAGGCTGAGGCGGGAGAATTGCTTGAACCTGGGAGGCGGAGGTTGCAGTGAGCCGAGATTGCGCCATTGCACTCCAGCATGGGTGACAGAGCAAGACTCCATCTCAAAAAAAAAAAAAAAAAAAGGACAAACTGGGAAGAAAAAAAGGCAAAGATTTAAGCAACATAGCAACATTTTACCTATTTCATTATTATATGAAATAAAGTCATTTATCTATACTAGTGTCAGTTGTGAATTTGAGAAGGGCATAGGAAAAAGAAAGGGATGCTTTGTTTCTTCTTTCACATCTTTAATTTCAACCCCCAGACTCTAATAATAAAGTCATATTTTTCAGTTTTTTAGATACATTTATTCATAGCTGAGACTAGAGAGATGATATCATCTGGGTTGAAAAGAAACCATTTAACTTCTATGTTGCTCTGCATTCTGAAAAAATAAGCATGATTAAATTGTAAATATTTTTATCTATTATGTACATTTTGTTTCATTTCATAAAATTAGGTATTTTTTTCTCAACAGAAAGGAATTTTTTCACATAGCTTGAGGGTCTGATTACTAGAGAATAAGAAGGATATGTAAAGGCATTGTACATAGAATTACTGTTTTAATATGAAAATCTGTATCTTTAATTAAAGCTCCAGATAATTACGTGTGGAAATCATTAAAATGGTCAGATATGTAGGTACGTTCTCCCAAATGTATGCCAACCTTTATTCAGACTATTTGGTGAGCATATGGTGAAAACTTGATAGTATAGCATAGAATCAGTACCTGATTTTAGTAATAAAAATAAAACTTATTTTATGCCTACAGGTTTCATTCTGACTGGTGTTCACCTTCAAACTGCGATGAGATCCATGACCGGGTAAAAAATGTCTTGAAATCACATCAGGCTCATCAAAGACATTTATATGTTAGTTTCTAAAATTTTCTTTCGAAGGCTATTTATAATAGGTCAAGAAAACCACCAAAGATGCCTAAAGCTTATAAAATTTAGTCACCCGAAAGAAAAAAAGAAAGAAAGCTCCATTTGATGGAAATCAGTGGTTTTGCCCAAGGCAACATATCTAAATTCCTGCTTTACCTAAATCATTATGCAAAATGTTTGAAATAGACCATCTGAACTATGAACAGTGTTAGTGATAATTATCTTATAAAGTTTCAGTACATAGTGACTTGATGATAATTATTTCACAGCCTTCAAAATATGAGAACTCTTGTTTCATGGTTCAGTATAAAGCAATTTCATCTGCTACAGATATAGTTAATTCTAAATGGTAGCATGAGGGGGTAGTGAGAGGTACGTATTTTGAAGAAACTTCTCAGTTAATTTGTATGTTAATTGAATAAAAGAGGAAAAGAGCAGGACAGGTTTGTCAGGTTTAATATTACAAAAAAATCTATATGAGGATATTTTCTGAGAAAAAGCAAATAAGCATTCATATAAATAACAGCTGGGAAATAATGACTACTTTTTTGTGTGTTTGATCTCTTGTTTCATTCATTAGTTTAAAAAGCAATCATTTATCATCAATGTGTGTTGGACACTAAGATTAGTCTTGGGGGATATAAGGGGTTTATATGACCTTGGGATCAGTTTTTACAGTTTTAAGTTTCTATATACATGCTGTTTTTAAAATTAAACTTCTCTTCAAAGTATAGAAAAAAACACATAGAAAATGTACAAATAGTAAGTAACAGCTTGATAAATTATAAAATTAACAGTCTCATGTAAACTACCTACCAGATCAAGAAATAAAGCAATTCTGCAGAAGCCCCTCTTGTTCCTGCCAGCTACTGCCATTCCAAGTGTAAACATTATCAAACTTCTAACAAAGTTATTTATCTTCTAGTAGCAAGATATAATATTGCATGTTTTGAACTTTATATAAATGATATCCTACAGTGTCTACTTTTTTATTCTTGTTTCTCTTTGGTTTTTCAATTCAAGCATTTTTGAAATTTAGACATCTTGTTTTACATGGCAGTGTAGCAGTAGTTCATTCTTGTTGCCATAAATAAAATGTAATCATACAATACATTTCATTGTATGAAAATGCTACCATTTATTCATTCCTCCATTGCTGGGCATTTAGTTTGTTTGGGGTTTGGGCTGTTACAGAGCTGCTGTAAGCAGTATGCACATGTCCTTGGGTGACATTGCACATGGTTTTAACAGTTACACTCCCACTACCAGTGTGGGAGAGTTCTACTTGTTTCATATCCTCCCTACTCCTTTGATTGATTGTGTGTGTGTGTGTGTGTGTGTGTGTGTGTCTGTGCTTCTATGTGTTCTCATTTGGCATTTTGATAAGTGAAAAGTAATTTATCATATAATGGTTTTAATTTTTTGTGTCCCGTGACGAGTGGATATTCTTATTGTCCATTTGGATATCCTCTTTTGTGTTCACGTCGTTTGTTCATTTTTCTACTGGATTGTCTGTCTTTCATTTTTAGGTAAGATTTCCATGCAGATGCTTCATATGAGTTCTTATATATATGTTTTGTGATTTTCTTTTCCCACTCTGTGCCTTATCTTTTCACTCTTAATAGTATCTTTTGATTAAAAGTAGTTATTAATTCTAATGAATACAGTTTATCATTTTTCCTTTTTGATTAGCATCTTTATAGTTTTTGTCTACTTTACGACTTTCTCGTATGTCTGCTAAAGGTCATTTTTCTTTAACATTTAAATATATGAACCATTTAGAATTATTTTTTTCCACATAGTGGTAGCTAGGGGTCACATTTCAAGAAAGGTTCAAGTCTCGTTATTATAGATTTGTCTGTTTTACTTTCTGGTTCCCTTAATTTTGTTTTATATATTTTGAAACTATGTCATTGGATGGATTATGGAACTTTAATTATGAAATGTCCCTCTATATCTCTAGTAATATTCCTTGTTTCACAGTGTATTTTATCTGATATTAGTATAGCTATAGCAGCTTTTTTGTCTAGTATATGCATGGTATATATTTTTCAAGTCTTTGGTTTATGTCATTATATGTAAAGGATGTATCTTGTAAGTACCGTGTGAACTTTTTTTTTCAAGAATGAAAATCGAGTATTTTTATGTAGGTTGTTTTGTCTTTTGTTTGGATTAATCAAAATTTTAAACAATTTATTTTCTTTTGTATTAACTCATGGTTCTTTTTAAACTATTTTGTTATTGTTTGCCTTATTTCAACATACATACATGACAAATTATTTTTTATGACTTTTCCAATAATATGGGAACATGAAAACATTTAACTGTTTTTAATCTGATTTCTTTTTTGCTTATCTGTTATCACACATTTTAATTCTACATGTATAAAACACAAGAAATTATTTGTGTTCATCTAGTAACATTTATTTTAATCACATATTATTATTCATTCTTTCTTGCAATTCACTGTTTCCATTTGGGTTCTAGAATTGTTTTCCTTCTAACATGAAGAACTCTCTTTAATGCTTCTTTTTATGTCAGACTCCTGGATAAGAATTCTGATTTTTCTTGAAAGCATCTTGGTTCTATTTATGCACAATAGTTTTTCTGGATGTAGAATTCTAGGTTAATAGTCATTTTTTTTTTATTTTTTGGCATTTAAAAGAAGCTAATCCATTGTCTTCTGGCTGCTTCTGTATCTGTTGAAAAGTCAGCTATTACTTGTTTGCAATAATACGGCTTTCCCCCTTCTGTTGCATGTAAGATGTGCTATTTGCATTGTGTTTAGTAGTTTTCCTATGATCTATCTAAATGTGGTTTTACTGAATTAATATCCATTCAGTATGCAGAACTCATGTCTTTCATCTGTTTTGGAAAACTCTTAGCCATTCTTTCTTTAAACATTGCTTCCGTCCCAATATCTCTTTGCTATTTTTCTAGAACTTCAAATTACACTTACATAAAAATCTTTAAAATGTGTCTCATACGTATCTTATGCCTATATTCGTATTTTTCGTTATTTTTTCTCTCCAGTTTGGATATTTACTTTTAAACTGTTCTTTGCTAATTCTGTATTCTGCCATATTTGCATTAATGTTAAAACTGATGAAATTTTGATTTTGAACTTTTGATGAAAGCTTTTCATGAGGTTTTGATGTTGAAACTTTGATTGATGAAATGGGCCAAATCCTGGAGAAACGCAAATTACTATGATATGGTTTGGCTGTGTGCCCACCCACATCTCATCTTGAATTTCCGTGTGTTGTGGGAGGGACCCTGCGGGAGGTAATTGAATCATGGGGGCAAGTCTTTCCTGTAGCTGTTCTCGTGATAGTGAATAAGTCTTATGAGGTCTGATGGTTTTTAAAAGAGGAGTTCCTCTGCACAAGCTCTCTCTTTGCCTGCTGCTATCCATGTAAGATGTGACTTGCTCCCTATTGCCTTTAACCATGATTGTGAGACTTCCCCAGCCATGTGGAACCGTAAGTCCAATTATACCTCTTTCTTTTGTAAATTGCCCATTCTGGGGTATGTCTTTATCGGCAACATGAAAATGGACTAATACAATAATTAACTGAAAATGAAATATTAGTGGTTGTACATCTATTAAATAAATTGAATTCGTAGTTAAGAACTTTTTCAAGGAGAGAGGCCTAGATGGTTTCTCTGGTTAATCCAAACAAAATTTGAGGAGAACACAATACCAGTCTTGCACATCCCTGAAAATAGAAGAAGGAAAACTCCCCGGGTCATTTTATAAAGTCAGTATTTACTGTAATGCTATAACCAGACAACAACATTGCAAGAAAAGAAAAATGCAGATCAATGACCCTCATGAATATATATACAAAAATTCCCAAAAACATAGTAGCAAATTAAATCCATCTGTATGTAAAAATGAAAATACATCACAATTAAATGGACTTATTGCAGAAATGCAGTGTAAATTTATCCTATTAACTGATTAAGAAAAAGCATATTTCTTGTATGTAGTTTCAGCAGACACAGAAAAAGCATTCAATAAAATTAAACACCATTCATGATAAAAACTCTTAGTAAAGTGGGGGTAGAAGTGAACTTCCTTTGAGCATCTATTGGAAACCTATAGCTAACATTATACTCACTGGTGAAAGACTGATTGCTTTTTCTCAAAGTTCAGAAAGAAAACATTGTTTTCTTTAGCATCATACTGAAAATCTTAGGCAATGTAATAAGGCAAGTAAAATAAAAGTCATAAAGACTAGAAAGGAAGAAACATAACTGTATTTGCAGAAGATATGATTATTCATAGTAAATAAATAAACAAACTCTAAAGGATCTACAGAAAAGCTCATAGAAATAGTGAATTGAGCATGGTCACAGAAAGAAGGAACGTCAGTTTTTTTCTATATACCAGCAATGAGCAATTGAAATTTTAAGTTAGAAGATCTATGCCATTTATAATAGCAGCAGTAATTTAAGTGCTTAGCTAAAATTCTAACAATATGTGTAGGATCTGTATGCTGAGAACTAGAAAACACTATTGAAAGAAATCAAGGAAGACAGAAGTAAGTAGAGTTGACATAACATGTTCATGGATGGGAGGATTCAATATTTGAATCTCAATTTGATATCTAGATTTTATGCAATCTTAATCAAAATTCCAGCACATGTTTTTAGTAGATATTGACAAGCTTATTCAACAACTTGTATGAAAGGCAGAGAAACTTAAAAAATCAAAACGGTCTCAAAACGAATGAAGCTGGAGGACTCACTGCCTAATTTTAAGATTTTTACAGTAAAGCACAGTAATGAAGATTGTGTTATATTGAGTAAAGTATGGACACATATATCGAAGGAATAGAATAGAGATTCCAGAAAGAGACCCATGTAAATACTGTCAACTGATTTTGACAAAAGTGTAAAGCCAATTAAATGATGACTTTGTTTTTGTTATC